CTAGCAATCACTAATCTGTTCTCCATTTGCAAACTTTTATCATTTCAAAAATGTTATATAAATAGAATCATATAGTATGTAACTTTTTGGGATTGGCTTTTTTCAGTCAGCAAAGTTCCCTGAGATTTCCTAAATTATTTTGTGTATCATTAGTTTGTTCCTTTTTATTGCTGAATAGTATTCCATGGGTGGATATAGCATAGTTTGTTTAAGCATTTAGCTCTTTTTTTAAAAAAATATTTAAATTCAATTTGCCAACATATAGTATAATGCCCAGTGCTCATCCCATCAAGTGCCCTCCTTAGTGCCTGTCACCCAGTCACCCCATCCCCCCCACCCTATTCCCCTTCTGCAATCCTTTGTTTCACGATTAGGAGTCTCTCATGGTTTGTCTTCTTCTCTAATTTTTCTCCACTGAGTTTCCCCCCCTTCCCTTATGGTCCCTTTCACTATTTCTTATATCCCACATATGAATGAAACCATATGATGATTGCTCTTTTTCTGACTGATGTATTTCACTCAGCATAATACCCTCCAGTTTCATCCACATCGAGGCAAATGTTAGGTATTTGTCCTTTCTGATCGCTGAGTAATACTCTACATCTTCTTTATCCATTCATTTGTTGAAGGACGTCATGGCTCCTTCAACAATTTGGTTATTGTGGACTTTGCTGCTATGAATATTGGGGTGCAGGTGTTCTGATGTTTCACTACATCAGTATCTTTGGGGGTAAATACCCAGTAGTGCAATCGCTGGGTCATAAGGTAGCTCTATTTTTAACTTCTTGAGGAACTTCCACACTGTTTTCTAGAATGGCTGTACCAGTTTGCATTCCCACCAACAGTGCAAGAGGGTTCTCCTTACTCCACATCCTCTCCAATATTTGTTGTTTCTTGTCTTATTAATTTTAGCCATTCTCACTAGTGTGAGGTGGTGTCCTTAACCATTTAATTCTTGAAGGACATATGGTCTGATTCCAGTTTGTCTGTGGATATTCATGTGCAGATCTTTTGTGATATAAGTTTTCATTTCTTTGAGATAAATGCCCAAGAGTGAAATTGCTGGGTTATATAGTAATTACAAGTTTAGTTTTACATGAAACTGCAAATATATTTTCTAGAGTGGCTAATACCATTTTACATTCCTGCCTGTGATGTATGAATGATTCAGTTTCTCTGCATCCTCACCAGGATTTGGTTTTGTTGTTTTTAAAGATTTTAGCCATTCTGATAGCTGTGTAGTGCTATTTTATTGTGGTTTTAATTTGCGTTTTCCTAATAGCTAATGATGTTGAACATCTGTTCATGTACTTTTTTGCCATCTGTATGTGCTCTTCGGTGAAATGTCTCTTCATGTCTTTTGCCTATTTTCTAATTCTGCTTTTATACTATTGAATTTTGAGAATTCTTTATACGTTCTAGACATGAGTCCTTTGTGAAGATACACAGCTTGCAAATATTTTCTCCCATTCTGTAGCTTGTCTTCTCTTTTTTAAATAGGTTCTTTAGCAGAGCAAAGGGTTACTTTTGATGATGTTCAATTATAAACTTTTCTTTTTTTAAAAAAAGATTTTATTTATTTATTCATGATAGACACACAGAGAGAGGCAGAGACATAGGCAGAGGGAGAAGCAGGCTCCATGCAGGGAGCCCGACATGGGACTTGATCCCGGGACTCCAGGATCATGCCCTGGGCCGAAGGCAGACTCCAAACTGCTGAGCCACCGAGGGATCCCCTCAATTATAAACTTTTCTTTTTATGAATCTTGCTTTTGGTGTTTACTCTTTGCTTAGACCTGAAGATTTTTTAAATGTTTTTTTCTTAAAAGTCTTAGAATTTTACATTAAGTCTATGATCTACTTTGAATGAGGAATTTAGGCTGAGATTTATTAGTATTGTCTTGCAGATGTCCTATTGCTCTAGTATTGTTTGTTGAAAAGCTATCCCTTCCTCTACTGAATTGCTTTTGTACCTTAGTCAAAAATCAGTTGAACATATTTGTGTGGGTCTATTTCTGGGATCTCTATTCTGTTTTGTTAATCTGTGTCTTTTTAGTTTTTCCCAATTACTATAAGTCTTGAAATTGGGTAGATTTATTCCTCTCATTTTGTTATTTTTCAAAGTTGTCTTAGTTATTCTAGTTCCTTTACTTTTTCTTATATATTTTAGAAAAAACTTGTCTATATCTATAAAAAACCCTTGATGGGCTTTGATAGGAATTACATTAAATCTGTATATCAATTTGGGGAAAATTACCATTTTAATTATGTTGAATTGTCCAATGCATTAACTCAGTATGTATCTCCATTTTTTTAGATTTCCTTTGAAATCTTTTACCAGCACTGTAGAGTTTTCACCATATAAATCCTAGATGTGTTTTGCTAGGTTTATGCCTAAGAATTTTTTTTTCAGTGATTGTAAATAGTATTTTAAATTTTGGTATATAAGTGTTCATTGCTAATATGTAGAAGTACAATTTTTTTGTTTCTCTTGTATGCTATGAACTTGCTGAACTCATTTATTAGTTTTAGGGGGTTTTTGTTTGGTTTGGTTTTTTGTAGATTCAATGGGATTTTCTTTCTTTCTTTTTTAAAGATTTGAATTTTTTAAGTATTCTCTACACCCAATGTGGGGCTCAAACTCACAATCCTGAGATTGAGAGTTGCATGATCTACTGACTGAGCCAGCCAGGTGCCCCAATTTCATGTGATTTTCTCTATAGCCTATCATGTCACCTGCAGACACGAGTTTCATTACTTCATCCAATCTGTAATGCATTTTACTTCTTTTGTTTGCTTTATGGCAGCTGCTACAACTTGCAGTACTATGTTGAATAAAAGTGGTGAGAGTGAACATCCTTGCCTTGTTCCTGGTTTTAGGGGGAAAGCATTTAGTCTTTTGTCATTAAGATATTGGCTCTAGGGTTTTTGTAAATGGTTTTTATCAAAGTGAGATAACTACCTGCTGTTCTTAACTTGAAGAGAGATGTTTTCTTTTTTACATTAAGAATGAGTGTTAGATTTTATAGGTACTTTTTCTGTGTCAGTTGATATGACTGATTTTTTTTCATTTATTGATATGGTGGATTGCATTAATTGATTTTCAAATGTTGAACTAACCTTGCACCTGGAATAAATCCTACTTGGTTGTGGTGTATGATCTTTTTAATATATTATTGAATTTGGATTGCTAGCATTTTGTTGAAGATTTTTGCATCTAAGTGCATGAGATATATTATTTTGTTGGATTTTGTTTTTGTTTTAAAAATATGTACTATCTTTGTCTGATTATGATTTCAGGGTAATATTGGCTTCATAAGAGAAGTTGGAGAATTTTTCTCTTCTATTTTTTTGAAGAGATTGTATAAAATTGGTGTTAAATTTTTTTTTTTTTAATATTTGGTGGCATTCTTCAGTGAAACCATCTGGGCCTGAAGATTTCATTCTTAAGATTTAAAAAATTACTAATTATAGGGATCCCTGGGTGGCGCAGCGGTTTGGCGCTTGCCTTTGGCCCAGGGCGCGATCCTGGAGACCCGGGATCGAATCCCACGTCAGGCTCCCGGTGCATGGAACCTGCTTCTCCCTCTGCCTATGTCTCTGCCTCTCTCTCTCTCACTGTGTGACTATCATAAATAAATAAAAATTTTAAAAAAATTAAAAAAATAAAAATAAAAAAATTACTAATTATAGTTGTATATTTACATAGCTATGCAATACCCACATTTCTGACTATAGAAATGTGTTGTATACTTTACCAGAGGAAAGATGTTGGAGAGGACCATGTCCCACTCCCCTGAGCCATCCCCCCTGCATCTGGCTCTTTTCCTTTTCATCCTTTGGGTGATTACAAAGTTGAGTGAGGCAGGCAGGAAGCTTCCCTGTGGGTAACCCAGGTGTTTCCTTGCAGGGCTGGCTGGGGATACTGTGAATGAGATGGACATAGATCACCAGGGTTCTACATGAGAGAAGGAAGGGCATAGGTGGGATATCCCCAGCAGCCCCTCATCCCCTTGTGGTCACAAGGCTTGATAACGAACAACAGGTGCCAATCTGGAGACAGGCACAGAGATGAAAAGGCTCTGGGTGAGGGCCCCAGTCCCTCCCCCACTGTGCTACCGATGTTATCACTACAGTTGTAACAGCAAAGGAGGCAGGTGTTAGGCATTAAAACAGAAGTGTGTAAAAGTGGGAGGAGAAGGACCATAGAAGAAGATCCAGGCTGCACCCTGGGCTGCATGCAAAGATGAGCCCCAGCACTGGCCATCTCCTTAGTACAGGTTCAGTGTCACAGGTCTCTTTGATTCTGCATGAAAACCACGGACCCACTGTGTGCACACTCTGGGCACACCACACACACCTATGCGGGAGTTACTTGGATCCCAACTGGCTCAGGGGTCTGCGGTCTGCCTGGGGTGGAATCTCTAACTTGGCTTGGTGCCCTTTGGGATTGTATTCCTTCCACAGCAGGCCTAAGCCTGCACTTCCCAGCAGGCAGCTGATACCCCATTTGGCTTCTTGGGGGATGTGAAGGAATATGTTTTGGCACCCGATGATGGCAAAGCAGGAGGAGAAAGTGGCAGGGGTCTGCATGGGTTTGGTCACATGGTTAGCAAGTGGCAGAGTCAAGGCCTACATCTAGGTGGATCAGACATAAAAGCTGTAAATAATGTGCTTCAGTTTTCTTATTTGTACAATGGAGAAACCAATGGTCTGTACATCCCAGTATGATCATGAGGATTACATGAGATAATCAGGTAATAATCTAACACATGGCCTAGATAGAACACAGTGAGTACTCACAATACTAGCCATTATTATTATTAATGTTAATATGCCATTTATCATGAAAGGCAGAATTACAATTATGGCAGCAAAAATTTAGCGTCAACAAAAATATGATGACATTAGAATTGTTTCTGGTTCATTAACACGTAAGGCCTTTCATTAGAAACTAATTTGAAGCTGTGACATTCCTCTGATACGAGTCCAAATGTCAGCCCGTCTAAATGCCTCAATCCCAGATGGAGTGGCTGTCCTGCCTGCCCCTCAGAACCTCTCTGTACAATCAACCAACATGAAGCATCTCTTGACATGGAGCCCAGTGATGGTGCCTGGAGAAATAATATACTATTTTGTTGAGTACCAGGGGTGAGTTTTTTTGTTTCCTATTTTTCTTCCTTTAATGAGTATTTGATTCCTGGAGGTAGAGTCCTCATTCCAAAGCTTAAGGAGACTTTGTGAGCCCAGGGATAGATTATTTCCCATGATCTGCCTCCTCTGTCTGCATGGACTTCAGGACAGTTAAAGAAGTAAAGGAAATAATCCTGTGGATTTGACAGTGAACTGTCTGGGAATGTAAGTGTATATAAACACATTTTGGTAGAGCTTCTTTTCAACAATGAGCCAACTGTCCAATACTAAAGTAAATCTTAAGAAATGTATTTGACTCTGATCTAAGGTGGATTAATCATTGGAGATGCATATCCTTTGGAGGTGAGAGGAGACCTCAGTTTTCCTGACTCTGGGCATGCCCACAGGAGCCAAAATAAATCATGACCCTAAAGGTCAGCTGGACCTGGGGTCAAGCAGGTCTGCTTTTCTCCAGGTGTCCAGGTTCTGAGAGTTGTTGAGGAGGGACAGGGACATAGAAGGCACTCAGTCTGTTTCATAAACAGTAAATACAAACTGAGCACTTATGTGTGTAGACATTCTTCTAGGCTTGGGGTACAGTTGACAGGGTTTCTAGATATGGGAAACTTATATTTAGAAGAAGAGACAGACAGTAAAAAGTAAATAAATAAATATACTGGGTCTACATTGTCCAGTGTGGTAGCACTAGACACAGATAGCTATTTAAAATGAAATTAATTAAAATTACACTAAAGTGTCTGTTTTTCAGTCATACTAGTCACAAATCAAGTTCTTGATAGCCATATATGGCTAGTGACTACCATAATGAACAACACTGATGTAGAACATGTTCTATTGGGCAGCACTGCTCTAGGTGACTTCAGATAGTATTCTGTGCTAGGAGGAAAACTGAAAGGCTGATGCCATAGAGAGTGGACTCTGAGGTGCCTTTTAATTAGGTGGTCAGGGGAGGTCTTTCTGAGCAGGTGATGTTTAAGCTGGCATCTGAAGGATAGGAGGAGCCAACCAATGTGAATAGTGGGATACAACTTTTGAGACACAGTGAACAGGTAATCAAAGATCCTAAGGTAACAAGAGCTCAGCATGTGAAGAGTGAAAAGAAGGCCAGTGTAGAGGGAATATCATGTTTAGGGACAGAGTGAGAGAGAAGGCCAGAGAGTCTTACAGACCACAAGGAAGTGTTTGGATTCCATTCTGAGTGCTTTGGAAGCCATTAAAAAGAGAAATGTCACAATATGTTGAGTGATGAATGGTTTGAAGGACAGCAGAAGTGGAAGCTGGAAGATCAATCAGGAGACCACAGCAAGGTCAGGGATGACAGCAACTGAGACTGGGAGGGGGGTTGCTATAGAGATGGAGAGGCCAGGACAGACTGGGGTTTACACTTCCATTTCCCTTGTTTAGTGATAAAAGGACTAAGAAAGAATGGATGGTTGGTGAGGAAATAGAGTGAAGGAACTGGAGTGTGGAGAAAATGCTTGTTTTGCTGACCCAAAGTAGGTGAATGAGGCAGTTACTTGCACCTGTCATTGTACCTGGGTAAAAGGGGCTGGAATGACACTGTGCCCTCCTCTCCTTGGCCAGGGAGTATGAAAGCCTGTACATGAGCCACATCTGGATTCCCAGCAGCTGGTGCTCACCCACTGAAGGTCCTGCATGTGACATCACTGATGACATCACTGCCACCGTGCCATACAACCTCCGTGTCAGGGCCACCTTAGGCTCACAGACCTCAGCCTGGAGCACTCTGCAGCATCCCTTTAATCGAAACTCAAGTAAGGCACTTCTTTCCTTACTCCCCTACTTCCATTGGCCTCACCTTCAGGAACCACATTCACTGAGACTTTCAGGATTCTTGTTAGCATCAAACTAGACTTGAAAAGCCAGAGCACCATGAACAAAAACAGTCCTAACTGGCCCATTTCAAAAATTACCAACTACTTCGCACATGCCCTCTCATTCTGAAAGAGACTTTCAAACTCATTCCTGGCTGTCTCCGTCAGGGTCTGCAGATGGTGGGGAACATGGAAGGAGAGCTGTTCTGAAGTGATGACATGGAGCTGGGATTGCTTCTTTCTGTCTAGATAGCACCTCAATAAATCTTACATTGCTTCCCATCTTGTGCCTCATTAACCTGATATTTGTTCTCTGCATGCACAGCTTCTTTGTGCAATAGGATCTATAGATTTATCAGACTCACCAGAAACAGTAACTGGGAAATAAATAACTTTTCTATAGTGATAGTACCGGAAAATGATTGAGAAAAAAGTATGGCAAAAATCCAGATGGGTGGCCAAATATGGCAGAGTGCAAACAATGGCCAGTGTGTAAAAAGGGTGTGTTTGTTTGGAGAACAGCAGGAGCAAAGGCTGGTCACATGGTAAAGGGCTTTCCATGAAACCTGTTGAAATCAGCAGAGGGGAGTCATGGATGAAGAGAGGGTGTAGGCCAGGTCTATCTTATACACTAATCACTCTGAATGCTGTGTGGAAAGTGAACTGAAGTGGGACAAGTCTGCAGGGCAGGGGAAGAGTGAGAAGGGGGTTGTCACTCCAGCTGAGCCAAAATTGGTCTTGATCCCAGGAGTGAGTGAGGGGACAGGAAGGAGAGGGCACATTCCAGAGACATGGCTGAGTTAGAAAGGACAGAGCTTGAGTTATTGGAAGATGAAGTGGCGAGAGACAATGACAGTGTCCACCTTCTAGTTGGAGTTGATGAGAACATCATCCAAGGCAGAGAACCCAGGAGGAACAGGAGACACTCCTGGCTTTGGGCTCTTTGAGATGGAGGCTCCTACAAGATAGCATGCTACAGATATCTGATTGGCAGCTAGAAATCAGGCCCTTGGGCTCAGACAGGCCAAGATCAGGCACAACACAAAATTTTTTCTTAAAGATTTTATTTATTTATTTGACAGAGAGGAGAGAGAGCACAAGCAGGGGGAGCGACAGGCAGAGGGAGAAGGAGGAACAGGCTCCCCGTCGAGCAAGGAGCCAGGTTCTGGGCTCCATCCCAGGACCCTGGGATCATGACCTGAGCCGAAAGCAGACACTTAACCAGCTGAGCCACCCAGGCACCCCAGAATTAATAAAGGCTTGGGAGCAAATGAGATTGTCCAGGGACAAGATATGAGGACAAAGAGAACCCAGGACAGGATCCTGGAAGCCTTGGGGTTTAAAAAGTGAATAGAGGGAAGGGCACCCATAGGTGGCCAGGCAGGTAGTGCCCTGGAAGGGAAAAGAGCTGCTGATAGCCTGAAGGAGGGCCCTAAATGGGTCCTTGGGAAAATGGCTTCATGGAATATTTGGGATGGTGATGAGGCTGCCAGGTGAAGGATTGAGTGGAGGGGCGGGGAAGGAGCAAGGCAGCTCCTCCCCTGAGAACAGGCAAAGGCAATAATGTGACCAGGCTGTAGCTATGGGAAAGGCAGGGGAAAGGCCTTTGGTGAATTCTGCTTTCTTGATGTAGCAGAAGATCCTCTGCTGTGAGTGAGGACAAAAGAAGGTTTAGGGCAGCATCTATAGCAATAGGATAAGTCAAAGGTTACTGAGGAGTGTATAAGATTGGGTAGAAATCAGGAGGATTTAGATCAGGGGGCCCAAGCTGGAAGGGGCTGAGGAAGGTTAAGACAGACTTGAAGGGGAATTTGGCCCTCTAGAGTCAGGTATGATACAAATCCCAGCTCAGCCTTTGATACCTGACACCCTGCCTGCCTCCTCACCTGCAGAAAGGGCAACAGTTTGCCTGGCTGGGTAGTGACGGGGACTATATAAGATGAAATATGTAAATAGTCAGGGCAGTGCCATCCTATCATAGCACTCAGCTATTGGTAAGTGTTATATTATTGTTGCCCAAGGGATGCTTAGAGCTTAGAGCCAGAGAGCAGAGTAGGGAAGAGGTGGGGGCAAGAATGGGACCACCAGAATGGGACACCAATAAGAATTTTGGTACAAAATGTGAGTTTCTCTGCCCAGGCCTCTTTCCCCAGGCACTGAGAGGATACAGCAGACTCCCAGTGCGAGGCACTGGAGGAGACTGAGGGACACTGGAGGGTGCAGTGCCCAGGCAAGACCCAGAACTACCTCTCTTCAGCATCTAAGAGCCTGGGGCTCCAGCCAAGACCATTGCTAAGGACTGGCAGCTATTGTTGGAAAGGAAGGTACAGGTCAGATGGAGGTCAAGTGCTTATAAAACTACATGGGCAGGGGTGCGCAGTAACAACTTGTGCTTGAGAAGACCAGTATAAACAGGAAAGGATCTTACTGCTGGAGAAGCTGAGGAACAGGAAGGAGCCTCTGTACCTGCACCAGAAGGTAAAAGATGTCATCCCATGTGATCCCTGTGGAGGTAGAGTAAGCTACAGAGTGAGGATGGAATTGTCACTCTTAAAGGGACATTAAATCTGTTCGTTTGCCTTTGAAAAAGGCCATCCCAACTTCTCCCCAGGCATGTGAAAAATCTTGTTTTAAGCCTCTTCTGAAAAGGTTCTCCTACTCCTAAGGGGACACCTTGTTGAGAGCAGAGGTTCTTTTTTTTTTTTTTTTTAAGATTTTACTTATTTATTCATGAGACACACACACACACACACACACACAGAGGCAGAGACACAGGCAGAGGGAGAAGCAGGCCCCATGCAGGGAGCCCAATGTGGGACTCATCCCAGGTAACCAGGATCATGCCCTAAGCTAAACCGCTGAGGCACTTGGGCTGCCTGAGAGCGGAGGTTCTTAACCTTGATGACACATTCCAGTCACGGCAGAGATTTAGAGCCATGTGTCCAGGGCCTATCCACAGAGAGTCTGATTTAAGTGATCTATGTGCGTTCTGTTCCTGGGAGTTTATGATTTCCTCAGGTTGTTCTCATGGATAGCTGGATTTGAGGTCCACTCATAGGGAGGCTAATACCCCACCAGCAGAGGCTAGAAATGTGGAAAGACATGGGCTCAAATTCTGGCCATTAACTGTGTGACAAGTCACGTAGCTTCTCTGAGGCTCAGTTACATCATCTGAACAACAGGAATCATGTTTGTCTTCCTATGCTTGCTGGATGGATGAAATGAGCTAAGTATATAGAATGCATAGAGCAGAGGTTCCTGTGCCAACACTGTCAAGAATGTTCCTCTGAACTAAAATGACTTTAGGTCATTTTCTCTAATTCTATTCTCAATCAATTTGGAGAAGAGAGGATCCAATTTTATAATGTTTACTTAAAACTGAAGCTTCTGAACTGGTTATGTTTTGCACAGTTGGTCCCTGACTTCCTCACTTCTCCTGTCCCCTATCCAGGTAGCTCTTCAAATGCCAGGAAATGCTTTGCTCTCCAAAAACTTCCTCCAGGAACTGCTTTTCCTCTGAGTATCCACTGACCCCAGTGCAGGCCTGTACTTCCCAAGCCAAGGCCAACCATTGGGGTGGCCCTTCTGGTCCTGCAGTGTCTAGGTCTGACAGGCAAGTGTGGATCCATCATCTGTAGCCAGGGATTGGAGGTTGCCTGTGTATGCCCTTCTGTTCTTGGTCTGCTGATGGGAAAGAATCCACAGGGGCTGCTGGCCTCCCTGTTTGGGATCCAACAATGTGAAAGATGGGTGTTTGTGCTTAAGGTGTAATTTCTAGAGTTGACTACTGGAATTTGTAAAATCCTCTGACTTTCCAACATTCCTATTAAAATAGGAAGTGAAGAATTCTTGGACCAAGAATAGAATGGCCAACCCATTCACAGACTGCTGATTTCCTAATGCTTGAAAGTCATCAGCAGCCAGTATATATCACTCTTTGAGCTACAGTGATACACATGCCCCTGCAGGTATGTTCATTCCTGATGAGCAAAGAATGGACCCAACTGTTCTGTATAGACCTGAGCTCATGCAGGTGTTTGGCAAGCATTAAGAAATGGCATCTGCTCACTTAGATGAGTCAAGGTGAGGAGCACTTTCTGCCCCTCCACCAAATAAAGAAAGAAAGAAAAAGAGGAACTGGGCTATAAAATTTTAAAACAGAGAGGTTTACCTGAGTACTCTGTCACTTTTCTTGAGTGTGTGTGCCTCCTGAAGAAGGAGCAGAGGACTTTATCATGGTCAAGGAGAGGAGTGAAAAAAGAATTGTAGTTAAGTCTTTGTCATTTAAAACAATTTGCTCATCATTCAAAATGCATTTATTGAGTATGCTGAATACAAGAAAGTATTGGTATACAGTAGTCCCCCTTATTTGTAGGGGATATGTTCTAGGACCCCCAGGGGATGCCTGAAACTGAGAATAGTACCAAATCCTACATATACTAAGTTTTTTCTTATACATACATACTTATGATAAAGTCAAATTTATAAATTAGGCACAGTAAGAGATTAGCAACAACAATAATAGAAGAACAATGATAACAATATACTGTAATAAAAGTTATGTGAATGTGGTCTCCTCTCTCAAAGTTATCTTATTGTGCTGTACTGGCCCTCCTTCTTCTTGTGATGATGTGAGATGATAAAATGCCTTGGGAGGAGTGAGGAGAATGATACAGGCACTGGGTATTGTTAGGCTACTATTGACCTTCCGATCATATATCAGAGGGAGGATCATCTGTTTCTCTCCCCATCACAGGTAATTGAAACCACAGCAAGCAAAGTCTCAGATAAGGGGGATGACAGTCCAGCTTCTGCATGCTGGGAAGTTACACACCCCCCTTCCCTACAACCCCAGCATGTCTCTACTGATAATTTGGTTCTGGTCTCTCAGGACGGAAACCAGTCCTGCCTGGGACTGGCTTTGATTCTCCCTTCATCTTGCCAACAGCCATCCTCACCCCACCCGTGATGGAGGTCACCAAGGATGGCTTCCACCTGGTTATTAAGCTGGAAGACCTGGGACCCCAATTTGAGTTCCTTGTGGCTTACTGGAGGAGGGAGCCTGATGCCAAGGTAAGACTTCCAGCCCTGGCCTTGGAGTCCGGCCTCAGGGAAGGAGTCAGACCAATGAGGGGTGGGTAAGGAAAGCCGTCCCCTGAAGCGGTCACCTGTGCAGGGGTGGCCTGAGCATGAGCAGGCCTGAGTGCAGGGTGGGAAAGGAGAAATGAGAGCAGCTGACAATCCTAGAGCCTCCCCTTCAGAGAATTGCCTTGGTCCACCCCAAGTTCAGGCCAGATTTGCTGAAGTATGGGGGGTTGCCTCTTTGCCCTAAACTCAAACAGTATGATCCATAGTACCTTTCAGGGCGTTCCTTTCTTCCTCCTCATCAGCCTGTCTTTTCGGCCATTCTCCCTGGCATGTTTAGGTGCAGGAGACCAGGGTGTTCCAGATCATCTAGATGATTTCGAAAGCATGTGAAACTGGCACAAGCCTCTCAAGGGTGTGTATCAGGGTAGGGTGCAGAAGTCAGGGCAGAGAGCCAGGGTCTGGCTTGTGAATAAACCTGTCTAATTATCAGCCAGTTGGCCATTCAGAATGCCTAGATGGGGCACTGCCTCATCCTACTGTGGGATAGTTACTGCAGAGTGGGTTGGGTGGGATGTCAGCACTCCCAGAGTGAATGAAGAGCTGGAGCTTGAGCAGGAACTGAGGGATAGTCAGACCCTGAGACTCTGTCCAAGATGCTTTGTGAAGGCTACTCCAGTCAGCACAAGGAAAATGAGCTTTATTGTAAGTCTGGATAGGATGCAGTAAGGGGTTTTCACAGATTTATGGGCAGAGCTGGCCTAGGCTACCTCTGACCTCACAGCAATATCTAAGGGGCAAAAACACATGTCCTATCACCTACTGAACAGGGGCTATGGTTTGGCTAGTTTCCCCTGAAAGGTGGTATGTGTAGGTGGGGCAAGCAATAATAATGGCTTCCAGTATTTACTCCTGCTGGGTGAGGGCCCAGTAGTAGGACATGACATTGCCAGCCAGGCAGATGGCATAGTATGGGGGACAGACCAGGACCTGGGCAGGAGGGAGCATGCAACTCCCTCAGATTCCTTGGGATGGAGCCCACTCCCCACCCTTGGTAACAGGCAGGGCCAGTGCTGAGAGAGGAGCGGGTACCCTGAGTCACTGGGGCTTGGCCCAGACAAGCCTCCACAGGTTCAAATGTGTAGCACAGGGTTCAGTGGGTGGGTGGAGGTAGAGAGGTACACAGATGGACGGACAGATGGGTAAATGGATGAATGTGTGAGGAGACATATCCTACTGGTTCCATTGCTCCCGTGCGCTGATCCCCCTGGCAGCACTGGCCGTGCCAAGCCCCCAGGCTCAGTCAGATTTCTCACCTTCAGGTGTCTGCGTAAATATTACCCTATCAGGGAGGACTTGTTTTAATCACTCTGCTTCATGCCCACTCATCATCCTACCTCCTTGCTCTGCTTCCTTCTGTTTCATAGCCCCTGCACCACCTGACATGTGTCACACAATTGTCTGTGTCCCCTGACGTGAGCTCCATGAGAGCAGGACTTTGTTTTGTTCAGTGCTCTATCTCAGGGCCTATAATAGTAACTGCCATGTGGGAGGTGCTTAATAAAGAAATAAGAATGAATGAACAAGGGGTGCCTGGGTGAGCTCGGTCAGTTGAGCATCTGCCTTCGGCTCAAGTCATGATCCCAGGACCCTGGGATTGAGCCCTAGGTCGGGCTCCCTGTTCAGCAAGGAGTCTGCTTCTCCTTCTCCTTTTGCCTCTCCCCCTGCTTGTGCTCTTCGTCTCTCTGTCAAATAAATAAATAAATAAATACATAAATACATAAATAAATAAAACCTTAAACCCTAAAAAAAAAAAAGTGAATGAATGAATGAGAGGGAACCTTCTATATGCATCCCAGAAAGGAAATATCTAGAACTTTTCTTCCTTGGCTCCTCTTGCCCTTTCCTGTCCTGTTTCCCTCACTCAGGGTGTAACTGTTTTCTGATTTCCTAAAGGAACATGTCAAAGTGGTGAGGAGCAGGGGCATTCCGGTGCACCTGGAAACCATGGAACCAGGTGCTGCATATTGTGTGAAAGTCCGGACGTTTGTGAAGGCCATTGGGAGGCACAGCCCTTTCAGCCAGGCAGAGTGTGTCAAGGTGCAAGGTACGACGGCCTGCCTCTTCCCTGGAGTCCTGCCTGCACAGGCAACAGCCCCTCCTGGTGGCTGCCTGGCTGCCTGCTGGGTTCCTCTGTTTCTGAATTTCCCCTGGGTTTCACTGACCTGCCTGCCGGCCGGGTGCATATCTCTGCTTTCCTCTAATTTCCCTAGAGGCAAGAGTTCACCCTAGGGCTGGTTGGGGTAACTTGAGCAGCTGAGTGGAACACTTTCTTCCTGAAAGTCTCCTAGGCTTGAGGCCAAATGTTGCAAGGCTGGTTTACCCTGATGGCAATAGCCTGGGAACCAGAGTGGGCTTGGGGTGCCAGAGAAGCAGCCTGGAGTATGAGACTCAGTCCTTGCAAGAAGCTCCCCTACACCACTGTATATCATCGCTGCTTTCTGCTGGAAGGGACCCAATCAATGCATGTAGAGTTCTTCTGTTTGACTTAATTTTTCTCCCTTGAATTTTATTTATTTATTTATAAGATTTATTTATTTGAGAGAGAGAAAGAGAGAGAGAGAGAGAGCGAGAGAGAGAGAGCGAGCACAAGCGGGAGGGACAGAGGGAAAGGGATAGAGAATCCTAAGCAGACTCTGCACTCAGAGCAGAGCCTGACATGGGGCTCTATCCTAGTACCCTGAGATCATGACCTGACCTCAGATGCTCAACTGACTGAGCCACCCAGGTGCCCCATCCCTTGAATTTTTTTTTTATAGTCTAAAACCCTACAGTGTTAAGAAATCCTTTGAAAAGAAACAGAACAAAACTCCACATCCCACAATTCTGCTGCTCAAATACCACTAAGTGACATTTTTGTGTATAATTTTAAAAAATTATTCTAAAAATTTAATACTTTCACATGATTCAAAAAGTATAAGATACATTGGAAACTCTCCTTTCTATTCTTTCCCATCTTTGCAATTCCAGCCCCTCCCCCATAGGTATTAGTTTTTTGTATATCCTAAAGATTTTAAAATGAACAAGTAAATGAGAATATTTATATATATTTCTCTTCTTTTTAGCACAAATAGTAGCATACTCTATGCATTGTTTTGGATCTTGTCTTTTTTACTTTATGTATCTTATAGATTTTTCCATTTTGATAAAGAACTTTCTCATCCTTCCTTACAACCTCATAGTATGTTGTTGTGTGTAAATATAACAAATTTAACTAGTCTTTCATTGATGAGCATTTTGTTTTTTTCCCAATATTTTACTTTTATAGCCAATGCTTTAATTAATTACCTTGTACATGAACATTTTGCTGGTGTGTATATATTTATGGGATAAATTCCTGGGAGTAGAGCTGCTTTGTCAGAGGCATACACATTAGAATTTGGACCACCATTCCCAAATTGCTCTGAAGGTGGTGTGACTGGTCCACCGCTATGCATGTGTAGGCACACGTTGTAGTCGTGTTGCACACACACTCTGTGCTTGCTCTTTCCACGAACATCACATTCAGCACGTTTTCCATGTGAATTTTCTGATTACCGTTTTATACAACTTTAAAAATCATTTAAGTAAAAAAAATCATTTAAGTCTAGTTTGTTAAAGAATTCAAACAACACAGAAATATGTAAAGTGAGAGGTACATGTTCTCTGCTCTCACCCATGTCACTCAGGAGGTTTCCTCTGGCGGGTTTGACATTTAATCTTCTAGACATTGTGTGATACCAATGCTCAGAGGCACAATGGAACTGTACTGTGCTTACCATTCTGCATGTGGCTTGTCTTCACTGAGAAGTATATTGAGACATCTTTTCATATTAGTACATGGGGATCTACTTCATTTTTAAAGAAGATGCATAATAAGTGAATTTATTGATGTGCCAAAATATATGTAACCATTCTCCTACTAATAGATATATTCTTTGCTTTCCAGACTTACCACTACAAATCATGCTGTAGTGAACAAATTTGTGTATATCCCAATTCCCATTTTAATAGCTGAATTCCTAAGCTACCATGCTGATGTCTTATATATTAAATCATCTCCTATTTTGGGGTAATTAGATCATTTCTATTTTTAGGCTGTTTCCACTTGTTTTTGATGATGATGTTCATTGATTCACTCATTCATTCATTCAGTGAATACTTACTGAACATTGACTATGTGCCAGTGCTGGCTTCATTGCTGGAATGTAGTAGGGAAGTCCCTGTCCTCATAGAAGCATATCCTCTAGCTGGGGAGAGAGGCTATAAACAAGTAAACAAATGAGATATTTCACTTGGTGGTATGTGTTATGAACAAAGCACACTAGAGCATACATGGACATGGAGGTGGAGGTATGTCACTTTAGGTGGAGAGAGAGGCTGGGGGCAGCCCTGGTGGCTCAGCGGTTTAGTGCCACCTTCAGCCCAGGGTGTGATCCTGGAGACCTGGGATCGAGTCCCATGTTGGGCTCTCTGCATGGAGCCTGCTTCTCCCTCTGCCTGTGTCTCTGCCTCTCTCTCTCTGGTCTCTCATGAATAAATAGATAAAATCTTTAAAAAAACAGAGAGAGAGAGAGAGAGAGAGAGAGAGAGAGAGACTGATTATGAGGCTGTTGCCCTAGTCCAGATGTTGCTATGAACTGTTTTACGTATATAATTGTTTTCTTCCTTGAAATTATTTTTTGGAATCCATTCAGAGGAATAAATGAAAGGGTATGAACGTTTTGTTTATCTCTTGAGGGTGTACTGCCAAAGTATTTTCCAAAAGCTTTGAAACAAAGTACAGTTTCCACAGCCACATATGTGAGACCACCATTTTCCCTGCAGCCTCATTGGCTGTGCTGCCCTTCACAAGATGGGTGAGTTGTCTGACCTAGAGGGGTACATGAGTTGCTCTACATTACATAGAACAGAAGGAGGGGAACAGAACCTATTACCCCTTCTACATCTCCAGATGCTCACACTTGGCACTTTCTGATACATTTACTTCATAGAATGGCCCTGGGCTTTGGAGCCAGCCCTACCGTGTGAACTGGGGTAAGTTACAGAACGCTAGCAGGGACTCAATATATCGCATTTATAACATGACTGTTTTCTGAAGTCAGTACTTTCCTCCATAATGTGAGCCAATGCCAAGAGCAAATTGTGAAACACATTTTGTTTCCAGTTACCGCCCAGATCCCTTCTGTGCTGTTCTCTTCCGGCACCTCCCCCTCATCCTGCCGGGGTCCTGGCACTCTGCCCTCCTCCTGGCAGCTGCGCCAAGGTACGTGCTAACATAGCTAGTGGCTTAACACATGAGGCTCCTCCCTTTCCCTTCCCAAGAAAAAGATTTTAATCTTCCCTGAGGCTTTCTGGAAACAATGCCGTAATCTGGACTCTAAAAAGAATGATTTTAATGGTGGTAATTTTAGTCACTAAGGCATACGTCAAATCTCAGGATGTTGGCATCTGCCGTCTTGGTCAACGTGCAAAGCCAACGCCAGGAAAGCAAGAGAGGCCAGAATTGGTTATTTCATCTTCCCTGTTGTCTCCTAAGCTTGTTCTTATATTTTCATTTCCAGGAGAGACCCTCCCTCTGGCACTGGCCCTGTTTGCATTTTTTGGCTTCACGCTGATGCTTGTGGTTATGCCCCTTTCCGTCTGGAAAATGGGCCGGCTACTCCGGTACTCCTGTTGCCCCGTGGTGGTCCTCCCTGACACCTTGGTAATGCTATTTTTTTCTCCATTCAGCATGACACTTACCAGATGTACTTTGAGCCTTAGCCTGGCATGGGTACACATTCTATGGCTTTACAAGCATTTGCACAAAGAGAAGAGGAGTCATAGGAATCACTTCTAATTAGAGGGGCTGGGAAAGAATCCCTTTCTCTGGGGAGTGGTACCCTTCCTCAGGCTCCCGTCAGGCCACTGATGCTTGCCCTTAGGACCTGGCACAGGCAAGAGAGCAGGTGTGTTACACCACCCAGGATGTTCGGCATTTCAAGAGTCATGCACAGTCTTACTCTTCTAGACTGGTCTGCAAGGATTCTTGGTCCCTTGCCGTAATTAAAACAGCAGCTACATCCAATAATATGTCCCAACCCAACATATTCAGTTCATGTGCCAGGAGCATCATTGGTTCTCAGGGCAAAGTACATGTGTGTGAAGCATGGACAGTGGACACTAGGCCACAGGTTTGAGTCTCCAGGTCACGTAGGTCCTATGCCCATCCCAGGGTGGGAGAAAAGCAAAAGCAGGCCTCCAGCAGCTACCTTTGTTCTATTTTTCTACCTCCTGGGCCCTCCATCCACCCCAGACCTCAATACACAAGGCAGCACAAAACAAAATAAAGCAAAGCGACAACAAATGGAAACAAACCCATCCTTGTCACCTCAGGGATTTCTCACAGTTCTCTCCTGGGAAGAGGGAGTTAGCAGTCAGTTTCTCCAAGGCAACTAGAACCAGAACTGCCTGTAGTTCCTTATCAGCCTGGAGTCACTCTTGTGATATCTGCATGGCTCTGAGAGTATGGGCTATGTTCTCCCTACACAGGGAAGTAATCCTCCCTGTGACCCACTCTCCAGGACACCCCTTCACCTTGTTATCCTAACACTAGCTCTCTTTATCTTTCCAGCACTTCTACATAGTCCTAACTTTATCTGACACTAGTGCAGAGTTAAACAACAGGCACTGATCTAAGGCTTTATGTATATTGACTCATTTCATTTTCCCTGTTCCATAATTGCTTACCAATGTGTGTTTCATCAGCACCCTGCTAGCCCACTCTGAATGACTAAATGGTTAACCATGAAGGCACCGTGGTGTGGTGAACACCGGGGGTATGGCAGGCCTTTCCCCTTCAGCAAGAACCCGAGGGGTTCAGAGTTGCCAAGACCATTAAAGGATGCATATTCTGCATTTGTTGGAGTAGTGTTTTATAAATATCAGTTGTGTCAAAATGTTTGATAATCCTGTTCAGATATTTTGGTGTAGTTTTATTTGTTATTAAGGCAAGACAACAAATTCTCCAACTAGGAGTGTAGATGTGTCTGTTTCTATGTTTGTCAATTTTCCCTTCATATATTTTGATGCTCTGTTTCAGTTGCCTACATATTTGACATGTCTTCTTCAGTAATTGAGTCCTTTATCATCACGAAATATCCCTCTTTATCTCTAGCAATATTCCTTATCCTGATAACAATATTGCTCTTCATCATTTACTGTTTGTACGGCATATCTTCCATATTTTTACTTTACACATATCTGTGTCCTCGTATTTATTTATTTTAAAGATTTTATTTATTTATTCATGAGAGACACACAGAGAGAGGCAGAGACAGAGGCAGAGGGAGAAGCAGGCTCCTTGCAAGAAGCCCGATACGGGACTCGATCCCAGATCCTGGGATCACTCCCTGAGCCCAAGGCAGGCGCTCAACTGCTGAGCTTCCCAGGTGTCCCCTGTGTCTTCATATTTAAAGTATGTCTCTTATAGCTGTATATGTTGGTCTTAAAATTTTAAAAAATCCATTCCAATAATGTCTGCCATTTAATTGGAATGTTTAGTCCATTAACACTTAACCCTGAAACTCTCACTTTCTAACTTTTGTGTTTGTACCCGTATCTGTCACTGTTTGTGGCACCAAGAGAGACTTGCCCTCAGACAAGGAGCTGTGAAACTCACCAGTGATGTTACCTTCTTCCAAGTGTCAACTTTTGGTTGCTTACCAGTGACTTAGGGAGGTTGATTTTATATTATATATTTATATATATAAAATCATTATATATTATATATTTTATATATATAAAATCAACTTATATTTTGATCAGTTTTTAAAGTTGTTATCTGTAGGAGGATTGGCCTGATTGGTGCTCCTCCACCATAAGCAGAAGCAGCACCTTGCAATAAAAGAAGATGTCCTGGACCAATCCAAAATGATAATGGTAGGGAAGCATCCCTGGCTGAGATAGTCACAAGCTCTTTTCCACACATGGTAAAAAAAATTCAGCCTTCCTCAACTGAACTCCATCAAATTAGTCACCTTTTGTGCTATTCCTCTCCATTCTGTTACTCATGCTTACCTTCTACTCACAGGGTATTCCATTTCTAACCCTCTTTCATTTTTCTTCTTCTGGGTCTACATTCAGCAGCCCAGTAGAAGTTCTTCCCTATGTCAGGATCAGGGGCACTAGGACCCTGCCAGGACCTATAGTGAGTGACGGCTAAGGGCCAGGGAGAAAACCATATAAAGTGTCCGTTACTTATAGAATTTCAAGTGCACAGAAGAGCCCTCAAATGGCAAGAACTCCTAAGGATCCTAATACATTATGAGCCACACTCTAAACATAGCTCTTGGAGAAAACCAGACAACTTTAAAGGAGACTAGAAACAGGGATATTCTGTAACAGTATGACCACTTTCATCCATGGAAGATTGGTACAACTACCCTTAACTATCTTTTGCTTCTCTGTTCTTCTTACCCTCCTCCCTACATTGTTGTAGTGTCTTTCCTATGTACATTTCTTTCCATAAGGTTTTAAATTTTTATTATTTCTCCCTTGATTTTTTTAAGTGGACAATTTCTCTGAGTATATGCATTTCCCATAGTGCTGTACGAGAAATTGATCACTAGTGTCCATTAAATCCCACACAGATTCTGGAACTATATGTTACCCACTGCCCTCTACTCTGCCTCAGCCTTGGCTTTAGCTCAGCCTAGCTGCACTTCAATGTTTGCCTTAGTTATAGATAATCCTCTAAAGTATTAAAAAGCAACTTGTAGCCATCCTTGCAAGACCCACGCATCTTTCCAATTAAACCATGGAAAATTACCAAGTAGAAATCCTTGACAATTCTTCAGAAATCCCTATTGAGTTCATAAGTGTTTAATTTATCTGTTTGGATTAAACATTTCATGTATACATCTATAATTTCACAGTCGGTGATGGTTGCACTCAGAAATACACCATTAAGATTTTCTTTCCATTCAAATTTATATCACCAAGTAACAGTCTAAAGCAAAAATATATATGCAAAGAAAATTATATCAAGAATGCTCAGTGTACAGTCCCTATTTTAAAGTGTTATTTCTTTTCCTTGTCTTTTATCCATAATTGCTTTATGGGAATGGAGGATTTGCTGCTAAAGGGTCTTCCTTTCTTTTCTGTGACTCATTTTATTCTTTCTCTTTTTGCTGTCACATTCCACTGTAATGTAGGTAGCAAGCATAAATATGGCCCCAAGTTAGTCATTCTTCAATGCATCATCCCAAGTTTGGCTTTGTATACTTCATAGAAAGTAGAGTTTGTGAGCTAGGATAAATCTGGGATAAATCTGGGACCCAGACAGGTACCAAAAGAAAAAGTGTGCACCACAGTGAATATAATTCCATAGGGAGAGATGGTAGGGACCATGGCAAACATGTTATAGCTAAAGAAGGCAGTTGTTTTTTGGCTCTAGCATGTTGTTGCTGAGAGGGAATGTGAGCCAATGCTACCAGAGCTCCAAGTTTTTTTTTTCTTTTTTAAAAAAGAAAGTTTTATTATAATTACAACTAAATGAATTGCCTGAATCACCTGCAATATCTGGCCATGATTGCGTATGGTAGTGTAGAGTCTAAAATCAGAGCTGATTCATAAATCCTAGATTCATAAGTTTTTTTTAAAGAGATTTATCTATTTATTTTAGAGAGAGTGGAAGAGAGTGCATATGCATGGCGGGGGTGGGGGGGTGCAGAGGGAGAGAGAGAGAATGCCAAGCAGACTTCCCACTGACTGCAGAGCCTGGCATGGGGCCTGGTCTCACAACTCCAAGATCATGACCTGAGCCAAAATCAAGAGCCAGATTCCCAACTGACTGAGCCATATAGGTGCCCCACCAGATCTCCACATTTTATTTTTATTTTATTTATTTTTTTAAGTTTATTTTTTTAAAAGATTTTATTTATTGATTGATTCATGAGAGACACACAGAGAGAGGCAGAGACATAGGCAGAAGGAGAAGCAGGCTCCCTGCAGAGAGCCCGACATGGGACTTGATCCCAGGACCCCAGGACCATGACCTGAGCCAAATGCAGACATTCAACCACTGAGCCACTAGGCATCCCAAGATCTCCACCTTTTAAATGAGAAACCAGAGATCCAAATGTTTATGTGAAATCTCCTGATTTTTAAATGTTGAAAAGTAATTCAAATAAAAAAATCAATTGAATCTTGCTTGAAAGTTTATTCTAACCTATGGGATAGCAGTTTTATACCTTCTGAACTTCTGAGATTATATATTTTACTTTCATGTTCTAAAACTGCACTGTCTAATATGGTAGCCACTATCCATATGTGACTATTAAGCACTTGAAATGTAGCTAATTCAAATTGAGATGTACTGTAAATATAAAATACGCAATGGATTTTGAAAAACTCACTTCATTAATATTTTTATATAGATTGTAAGTTACAATAATACTTTATTTACTTTTTAAAAATATTCTATTTATTTATTTGACAGAGAGAGAGAAAGCGTGCACAAGCAGGGGGAGGGAGAGGGAGAAGCAGGCTCCTTGCTGAGCAGAGAGCCAGATGCGGGGCTCCCAGCACCCCGGGATCACGACCCGAGCTGAAGGCAGATTCTTAATGGACTGAGCCATCCAGGTGCCCCTAAAATAATATTTTAATAATAAAATACATTATTAAAATTAATTTCACCTGTTTCTTTTTACTTTTTAAAATGTACTACTGGAGAATTTTAAATCATCTATAGAGCTCAAATTATGTTTCCACTGGACAGCATTTCTCTAGAGTTAAAAAAAATCAAATATAAACACTGCAGATTTAGGTAGCTAGTATCCTAAGAACCTGACTGGACCAGCAGCAATGAATTGGTGGTCGGCTCCCCACTGAAACTCCCCATTAGTGACCCCTGCATGTACATTGTCCTCCCCTGTTACTTGCTCATGAACACCACAGCTGCCTCTTTACAATCAGGGAACAAGGGCACCTGGCTCCATGAAGCTAATATCTCCCAGGACTGAGGTGGAGAACCCGTTGGGCCTATTTGCTGTGTCCATGTGCCCCTCTTTGGAGAATTGACAGGAAGGGCCATGGAAAATAAGAACCTAATGAGTTTGGTGGAAGTGGGCAGGCTAGTAACAGTGGGGAGAGTCCCTCTGAAATGCTGACACCTGCATTTTTATAGTCAGTTAGGGTTACATATTGCCATTGTTGGGAAAAGACGGTAAGAACATGAATATGAGTTGGGAAGGGGCTCCTGTTTGTGGCGTGTCACCTCTGGACTGGGCCCCCTTCCATGTGCTATACACTGAGCATCTCATTGCAGGTCATTATTTTCAGAGTTCTCTGCTGAAAGGTTAGACTTTTGGCCAGAATTAAATTCTGGACTTTTGTGGGGCAACTGATATAGCACGGCCCCCAGAGATCTGCTGGTCAGTAAACTGGAGAATAATTAGAGTAAATATTGGAAGCTCCTGAAGCAGTGGTTAGAATCATCCCCCCCCACCCCCGATGCTTGAAAATTAATCAAGTAGCTGGGATTTCTGCAACATTCTCTGTTATTGTGACTACTACTTTACTGCTACTACCATTCCTCTAATGAATTTTAATGAAAATTATTTTTTCAGAAAATAACCAATTCACCCCAGAAGTTAATCAGCTGCAGAAAGGAAGAGGTGGAAGCCTGTGCCACAGCTGTGCTGTCTTCTGAGGAGCCTTTCAGGTCCTGGATCTAGCAGGCTGGGAGAGGGCCCAATTGAAACTGAGAATCCAGTTGGCACGGCACAGAAGCTGTGAGGGGAAAGACCCAGTATCTGTTTTCCTCCATGGACAAAGGACAAGAAAACAAGAAGAGCCTGCTGTGTCCATGTCTAGAAGCAACTGTCAGAGGCAGAGTGGTTTGGTGGACAGAGTGCTGAGTTGGGGGGGGTCAGGAGATGTGACCTCTAGAACTAGGTTGCTCTGCCATTCACCGACTGAATGACCCTGGAGAAAGTGGCTTGGTTTCTTTGGTCTTCAGTTTTCTCATCTATGAAATAGGAGAATTAAACCATACAACTGTTAAACCACACACACACACACACACACACACACACACACACACACAGCTTTTGCAGAGCTTTGGGAAACTGGCAGCACTGTATATTGTTATTAGTTCAACTTCTCTGCAGAGCAGTATATAAATTGTAACAAGAATGATAAAAACTCTTTCCACCAGTTGGCTTGGAGACCCCACTTCCCTAGAGTAAACCTTGATGAGGAAAGGAAGGATGGGTATGAAGTGTTGACTTCACTTTGACCCAAAATGCCTGTGCGGAGGCAAATGGCTCAGCCAGCTCTACAATACATGACCTAGAAGGAGGCCACAGGCTCATGGAAGATGGGACATGCTGTGCATACATAAGATATTGTAAAGGGGAAATAATGTGTGCACACTCAAGGCAGCAGGTAACATGTATGTGTATGAGGAGAGGAGAATGCAGAAGGATGTCAATAATAAACGTGGTATTTGCTGTGTTCCTTTTACCTCAGCATTGTTAAAGTATAGAATGAAAAATAAAAAGGGGTCACCTTCGGTAAGCTTTTTGGTTTCTTCCAAAAAAGTGGTTTTTAGTTACATCATCAACCATATGTCCAATGAGGCTCCTGAAGGCCACCATTGGTCAGGAGTTATTGGGTGACCCCAGGTAGGGGATGGGGAAGGGAAAGAGTGGCAGGCAGATTCCTGAGAACCCTGACCAATGCAGTAGTCAAAGCCTCACCTGGTCAGAGTGCCCCTGGATCTTCCTAGAGGCCTTTGGGTACCTCTCCTCTTTAAGACAGCTCACTCAGGGTGTCCTCAGTCCCTTCTAGCATGTTCATCCAGGATCCACCTCTGGAAGCCTCTTCCCACCCCTCTCCCTACCAGGTGAGGAAGAGTCAGGGTTGGAGAGAGAAATTTCTTGAGAAGTGAAGGGATTGATGGGCAAGGCCTTTGCCTCCATTTTTTAGACCCCAGCCTTGGAGACTCTGAGTTGGTTTGTCTCCACCAACTTCCTGGACCCCTTCCAGCCAGCCCAGAGCTGGGGACAATCTAACTTCTTCAACCATGTGTTTCTCCTACAAGATTTGGGTCTTCACCCCCCTCCCTACCCAGTGGGGCCTCAAGGAGCCAGATGGTGTGGACTCTCTAGGAGGATGATATTGCTGAAAATCTTTTCCTTTGTACCATTTTGTATGCTTCTGTGTTGTTCGACTCTTTTATGAAGAGTATATGTTAATTTTATATTTAGCCTGAACTGGAAACATTTTCAGTTTGCAAAAATAAAGGCCATGCTACTATACTGGTCGTCACTCTCCTTGTCCCATTTCCTTGCTGCTCCATGCGGGGGCTGCTGTCCTTCTGCCACCTGTCCAGGCCTAGAACCCAGAAATCACCCTTTGTTTCCCTCTGTTTGAGTCCCTCTCACAATTTGTCCCAGAGCCCATCCATTCCTGTTGGCATTTTTTGTTTGTAAACACTTCACTGGATTATTCTGTTGTCTTCTCAGTTCCCACACATGCATTTAACTGAGGTCCAGCCATGCATCAGACACTGAGCTTGTTCCCCATAGTAGGAGGGCTACCTCTGTAGCTGGAGTGCTTATATCTTGACTCCTCGGGCCTTCTCTCCTTTTATCCCCATCACTTAGCTCTTTAAACTGTGACACTTCAAGAAGTGAAAAGGAGCCCAGTTAGTAACTACAACAGAACAGGAAGACCAACCATGTTTGCACTCAACCCCATAGAGTGCCCTCACCCCCAGAATCAAGCCCAGCTTCCTTAGCCCTGCCCTCAGGGAACAAATGCCAGAGTCCAGTGAACAAAACCACCTATTTTATGAGGTTTACATTTCCACGGGGGAAAGGGAAAATAATAATAACAAAATAATACAAAATCAAATAATGGTAGTAATTCTTATTTGTAAATGAATTATCTGGTATATTAGGAGTGTATCAGACCCATGAAAAATGAAAAGGTAGAGCAGAAAATGGGGGTGGGGGCAGGTTGCAGCCTCCTCTAAATAAACAACTGGACCACAACTATGTCAGTTATATTCTTATATAGCTGCACAGGGTGGGGAGGTTACTGGTGGCTCTAGAAGAGATGAATTTGGCAAAAAATTGGCAGTCTAAAACAAAAACAATTTAGTATTTGTACTGTTTGTATGGATAGTGTATTTTTGAGGGGGGAGGGTTTGGTTTCGGAGCTGTTCTCTTAAGTTGTCAGTTAGAATAAGTAAATAATTATGTTTATTTTGATAGGAACCTAGATTTCAGGATTAGTGAAAGGGAAGGCCAATTGGACTAAAAAATTTGAGTAGGAGCCATGTGTTGTTAGAACTGAATTGAACATATTAATATGAAGTCATGCCTTTGTAAAACATTTACTTTAAAGTATATTTCTTTTCTGGCTTCCCCCCATCTAAATGGCTCAGTAGCAACGTTACCTCAATGCATATAATGCACCCTAATGCCTACATTATGGTTTCTAATGTTATTTTTCTCCCAAAAGGAGCCAGGGTTTCTTGGAACAATGTCTGATTCCATGTCTGGTCTGGGGCAAAAGAGTATGAGGCAATCTCATAACACCTAACGCCTTACTGGGCCAGAAGCAAAGCTTAAAATAACCAGGGTATTTGAAATCTAAAAGGGTCCCCACCACCGAAAGTTGGCACAGTGTGAGAGCATCAAAATGAGAATATCGACTGACATTAGTACATTTGAAATGTCACGAATCCATAACAACACATAAAAAGAGCAAAGCTAATACAGTGAATTCTCAGAAAACATGAATAGAATGCATTTCAACTCAGTCTCGTTACACAGTCCTGTTGGGCTTTATTGACTCATCACACCAATGAAGAATACTATGAAGAAGAGTGAATGTACACACCTCAATCAGAAGGCATCTTTCTCCACTGCCACCAGTCCTTGGCCCAAGCAGCAACCCTTGGAGACTTGCAACACACTCTTTACTGGTTGCCCTCTACTTCCAGTCCTTTCTCACTTGCCTAACCCCTTGCCTGTCTCCCGTCCTGCCAGGGGTTCCCAGTGATGTGCCTTTATTTTCCTTTTACAGAGGTTTTGTAGATTCAGTTTGCGTGTCTAGCCTCTGTGCTACCCTTCCCCATCTTATATATATATATGTATGTGTATATATAATACATCTCATATATATGCATATTTTCTGTATGCCCCCCCCCCCCTTTTTTAAATCCTTAGGCTAATTCTCTGCGGATGCAGAGCTCTCAGTTTCCTTTGAATCTGGCCGGACTTGATTGATCCCTTCAGGGAACTTTTCGCAAAGCTTCTGGAGCCCCTTTGGAAGGGGGACCTCATTAAGTCCGCGGGTGTCTGGCGCCACCTTGTGTTGAGTGGTGGAAAAGGTCCTTCTGTTCTCACGGAGCCAAGCGATCTTAGTTTCCTGAATGGAGAAAGGAAAATTCAGACAAGTTTCCTAGAATGAGAACTCAACTACAAAATCTCCATGGGCTTGGCCCCTAACAAACCTCCACTACTACTAGTGGATTCAGAATTTAGTGGCCGCCATATCCGCACTCGGGCCCTGTCTCCAGCATCATTAGGGGCTTCTTTGGGCCTGCCTGGCTCTGCCTCCCTACTGGGCCCTTGGCCTCTGCCTCACTCTTTCCTGTGTCCAGCTTTCCTCTGCGCTGTCCTTCCTTATCTATTAAAAAAAAAAAAAGAGTTTTTGAATTTTTGTTTTTCCTGTCTGTCATTTCTAGCCTATCCCTGGACTAGACTGACTTTCTAGGGTGTTCCTCAGGCCATATGAGGGGGTAGTTCATGAGAGGGTAGTCATATTAAACCACTGTGGTGGCACCTACTCTGTGAAATTTGAAACTGGCATACAAGAGTTGACCCCAATTACAGTTTTGTCTTGTGGGTTCCAGGGACCCTCAGGTTCTCATGCATCTAACAAAACCAAAACCAAAACCAAAACCAAAACCAAAACCAAAACCAAAACCAAAACCAAAAAAAAAAAAAAAACCATTCTTGCCTGAAGTGGGAGAATGCACATGTGGGAGCAGGAGGCTCCCAAAAGGAAGATGCAGCCCCTCTTGCCTCCCTCAGTGAGAAGCTGCAAGCCCAAGAGGGGTTGCAAAACCCCATTAAGGATCCTGGAGGAAAAACTGAGGAGGAGTGTTCTTGGGTATCTGCAAAGAGCCCCAGGAGCAAAAGCACAAACCCTCTTACTGTGAAGGAGGTACTTGCCTCTGGTTCCTCCATTGGACTCCTTTTGGGAAATTTTAAAAACTACTTAAAAAGGGGGATCCCTGGGTGACTCAGCGGTTTAGCGCCGCCTTCAGCCCAGGGCGTGATCCTGGCTCTCTGCATGGAGCCTGCTTCTCCCTCTGCCTGTGTCTCTGCCTCTCTCTCTCATGAATAAATAAATAAATAAAACCTTAAAAAAAAAAAACTACTTAAAAAGTCCTGGCTGTTAAAAAAAAATGAGTGTCTGTACAAACCTCAGTAACTTCTACATTTTGCTCCTGTACTTTAAGCCACTCGTCTATGAAGTGGCCCCTATGCCTCCTCATTTCCTGGAGATGCCAGCATATCTCTACCAAAGTGCCTTGGTGTAAGATTAAGCCTACAGATGACATCTTAGGTTTCTAGCCTTAGGAAATCATACCCCAGAACTTGGGCCTTCTGATGTCATCACACCGACAGTATCAAGGCTAAAGGACCTTCACAGGTGAAGCTCATGTCACAAAGTTAACTCTCCATTCTCTCCTTTCACGTTTGAGTCTTGCTATTGGGAATAGATCAAAATGGAATAGCTCCCTCTCCTCAGATTAAGCCTAGATTATGGAGGATTGCCAATGGGGTGAAGAATTACTGTATTTTAAATGAAGAGTTTTAAGTTAGCAGATGGCAGCAGATTACAGCAGATGCTGTAATTTAAATACATGTAACTGTAAGCAGTTCCATTTCAGTTCAGGAGAGAAAACTGTCAGGAAAAAGGATTTGTCTCCTTCCTTCCTTTCCTTCATCTTTTTCCCTTATTTCTTCCTCTTTCCTTCCTTCCTTTTCTCCCTCCCTCTCTCTTCCTTTTATTCTTTTTTTCTAACAAAGTTTTAAACTCTGAAGGAGAAGTTTAATCTGGGGTTGGCAAAGACAAGGCACGAGTTGAAGGAGCTTGGTCCTGAGGTGTGGTTCTGAACATGCAGGTGCTAGAGATGTGTGTTATCAGCAGAGTGTATGCCAGAGGTGGGGCCCACTCTTTCCTTTGGCTAATGACTCATTTTAAGAAAAATCACATCCTCCAAAAACATGTATTACAAAAATCAGAGTTTTTGAATTAGGTACCATTTTTTAAAAAGATTTTTATTTATTTGAAGGGGGGAGAGAAAAAAAATTTAAAAAAATGAAGGGGGAGAGAGAGAGAGAGAGAGAGAGAGAGAGAGAGAGAGAGAGAAAGAACAAGAGCAGGGAGCAGGGGTAGGAGAAGCAGACTCCTTACTGAGGAGGGAGCCCCATGTGGGGCTCAATCCCAGGCTGCTGAGATGGTGACCTGATTGGAAGGCAGACACTTAACTGACTGGGCTGCCCAGGTGCCTGAATTAGATACCACTTAAGACTTTAAAAAGGTATTAACAATATTGAAAATTGAAACCAGATAATGCATAGTTTTACCTTAAATTCAAAGAATGCGGTTTTGTGACTTACTTGAAGTCATAAATGCAGCTACAACAGAATGCAAAGTCAGGAATTTAGGGCATAATATATTTGATTCTGGGGCAGAATTTGGATATCTCCTGTAACATTAGCTAGTTGTGTCCTATGAGGCAGTGTACTATGATTTTTAAACACTGATAGCTTTTATGAACAAGTTCTATGAGAAAATAATCTGGAAATTTTATGAATTTGTAAAATTTTCTACTTGAACTTTCTGAGAATGGTTAGAGGTGAAATAATCTGATAACATTTTTTCAGTCATGAAAAGATTGTGATGTAATTTGATATATCTGGAAATGTATTTTTATTTTTAAAAAAGATTTATTTATTTATTTGAGAGAGAGAGAGAGAGAGAGAGAGAGAGAGAGAGGTGGGGGGGGCAGAAGGAGAAAGAGTCCTAAGCGGACTCCATGCTAGGCTCAAAGCCAAGCACAGGGCTGGATCTCCCAACTCTGAGATCATTACCTGAGCCTAAACCAAGAGTCAGCCACTTAACTGTGCCACCCAGGCATCCCTGGTTATGTGTTTTTAATTTAAACTTTATTGAAGTATATCTATGTTGCATTTTATGACCTTCTTATTTGGCTTTGGCAAGTTTGAGTTTTAT